TTGCAGATATTATTTACAGTCTATTATAGTTCAAGTCGAACCGACTTTAGTACTAGGCACGATACTCCGTATCGTGCGCGTCGTGTTGAATTGCCTTCTGTTCACGGTTCCTACCTTGAAATATCATTCTCTTACCCGTCTCATCCAATTGCCACTTTTCTACATTTTTTGTTACATTCATCGAGTTGGTGCCCAGAACATCAACAACATCTACTGCGGCGTAATCGCACTGCAGATCTAGCATCGTGACGTTGAAATTGATTCGCAACCTGAAAAAAATCGAATGATGAAGGGGATCGAAAAGAATTCTTACAATGTTTCGGCATTGGTGTCGAGCATTACGCCGGTTTCAATAGTTGTGGACAAAAAGGCCCAGAGCTCAACCAGGAAGAGAATCGCCATGAACACGCCAGCTGTTATCGATAGCGTGGCTCCAACCTAAGAACCGCGGGTGATTCATGCTGCGATCGGGAGCTCACCATCGTTGCTTCAGTGAGATCTGCCGGAATCTTGCGGAAGAAATCCACCATTTTTAGCCCAGACATCGCCTACGCCTTATTCGACAAATTTTGGTAAAGCGCCCCGGATGCGTACACACGGGCGACACTCGCACTACACGCACGAGGCGCACACGTGTTAGAATCCGAGTATGCTAGTATGAAGCACCAGCATAGTATAGCATGAGCATAGCCAGTATAAGGCAGACTTAGCATAGCCAGCATAGGCCAGTATGAGCGTCCCAGCATAGGGAGGATAGCATAGTCCCGAGTTAGGGTCAGAGAGGTTCAACCTCCCCCAACGCCCCCCCAGCCGGGACGTTTCACCTGACTTGCAGTCAGGCATTTTCGCGCTACAGAGGGCGTTTAGCGCATAGGAGATGGTAACATTTCCCAACCACCTAGAAGGCGGTTCACTGTGTTAGAATCCGAGTATGCTAGTATGAAGCACCAGCATAGTATAGCATGAGCCTCGGGAGCGACCAGAGCGTCGCCACACTGCCGCAGAGCGGGCGGCGGCGAAGCGCGCCGCCGGCGGTCCGCCGCGGCCTGGCAATGGCCGGCGACGACGACTTCGCCGACGGCGGAGGAGGCCTCGGCATCGACGGCCTCGGCGAGGGCGACGCCGGCGACGCCGGTGGCCAGCCCGACGACGTCCAGAGCACACACCGGAACGTCCGGAGCGGACGGAAAGCTTGTCAAGAAGCGCAAGTACGGCTTCCGGCGCGTCTCCTCCTATGCGGGGCGGGCGGCACGAGAACGCGAGCGCCTCGGGCCGTCAGCGGTTGGCGCGACCCAGCCCGGCGCCGGTTCGAACGATTAGCCCCCGAGACCCCTCGTTCGCCGCCCCTCTCGACGCCTTGGCCGCGAAAAGTACACGGCTACGCAGGCGGAACCGGCGGTAGGCCCCCAGGGGCCGCGTCGCGCGGTGTGGCATCGCACCACAGACCCCAGTGATCACAGTGAACTTATGTGTGGCCCTGGTCTAGAATCCGCTGCCAAATACTGGCATTCGATGTATGCTACCTGTACAAGCTCCCAGATGGTGTCGCACAGCTGCCTGGGCCTAGTTGTAATCTCCGAGCCAGTGGCTTTTGATTACCAATAAGGACACCAGCCACCATACATCTGACAGATATTTTCAGCACATTGCGCCTCGCGTATTAAGCCATCGATTTGATGAATAGGTGAGACACAGAAACGGGGATCGTGCAACGTGGAACCAGTGAGCTTTTGCTGAACACGGTCAGTTATAACCAATGTCTGTTTCAAGACATTACGAAAATGAGAATTATTTGTCGATAGGAGCTTCCAATCAACTAGTGGGTCATGAACAAATGCCTCGAGCATGGCCATCAAAGAGTGAAAATCGTTCCGTAGCACTCGCATTGTGTGGTTGCAAGTCAGCCGATAAGATCCCTCAACACCGCTAACCTCCATCGCATTGACGAGTAACTTCGTTAAGCGAAATGGAATCTTCTCGGGGAACCTCTTCCGTTTCATGGCTACCTCAAAACAGTCTCCAAAGTCAATATGAATAACTTCGCCAGATTTATCACTCACAAGTATATTTGAAAGGTGGCGATCTCCTAGACCTAGAACGTAGCCCACCACTGATGTTACTGCGAGGGAACGGGCATACCTAGTGCGGCGCATTAACCAAATTGACACATCTCCTGAGGTCACCAAGAATACGTTCGCGAGATCCCTGTTATATGTGCGATTCAGAACATATTTGAAATCACCGAGCTTGTACATGAACGGACTTTTATGGTAATCACAGGCAATAGCCTCGGTGAAACGTCTTTCGATGTCAACTAGTATACCCGAGTGGGATCGGTGATTCACTATGAGCTGATGAATTGTTGAACAGCACTTAAGCCATCCTATTAAGCCTGAGTTGTTAGATAGCGGCATAACGACGTATTGCTGGACATGAAGAGGTTCTTTGTGACCATGCCCGGCGTTGTAGGTCTTGTTGAAAAGGGCATTGATAAGCCCAAAAAGTTGCATGACACGCTCATCTTGTCGAAGATCTTCGTGACCTTTGAGCAAAAATTGATATTCTTTGCCATCAGATCCGGAGATTCTCAAGCAACGTGGCCGTTGCTTGGAGGCAAGAACTCGCAATTGTGGGGAAATTGACAAAATTCGGACTGGAAGATTTCGCCCCCCCTCTGTGCCAGGAATCGCCACATGCATGCTACCTGCACACATTAGCGATGGGGCCACCTGACCCAAGTCAAGGTGTGACAACTTGTCTGTAAAGATACTTTGCTTCACCCATTTGTGGATTGCAGAGTAAATATCCCAGGCCTGGTGCATATCTGCATGGTTCCTCAGCCGACAGAATCGAGAGAGAAACGATTCAGCTGCTAGGAGGTCAGGACTGTACACATGGGCGAATGCTGCAAGTCGTGTGGTGACTATGGTTGTATCATGACTTGAGTCTGGGAAAACGCCGATGAAGCTCTGGAGGTCATCATGCCAGCGACGATGCATCTCGATCAAACCATGAATCGTGGCTTGAACATCGGCACTCCCAAAATAGAGATTTGCGGCAGCTTCAATGCCTTGATACCAAGCCTCGTGCCAGGTGATTGCTGAACGATTAAGCTCCCGTGATACCAGGTTTGCTTCAGCAACGAGGACTTCCACCTCCGAGATAGCAAAACGTGTCTGGGTGCTTGCGTCACCAAGAACCCCATAGTACTCACACTGCTGTAACCCACCGAGAATCCCGACCGATGCAACACGGCGGGACTCTGATGCTGACTGCGCTGATACTGTTATCGGGTAGATGAGAGCCTGTGGATGTGCGCGACCGACTTGAACCAGTAGATCCGCAACAAGATGCCGCACGTCTTCATCAGGGTAGTCGACGCGAGCTATGAGCTGTGGTATGACTCCCAACCAAACATCAACACTTGTATGACCAAACCCCTCCAGCATTTTGGCGCTTACTTGCGAACGAGTCCCGTGCTTAAACCAGATAGTTAACAACCTGAGTGTATCTTGCAAGACAACAGCATCTCCCTCGTGCATCTCAACCCCAGGCCGCTCTGCTGATTGGCGCGTAGCACGGGACTCGGTACCAAACAATTGAAGACTTCGGAAGAAGCCTCCAATCGATTGAATCACGTGGTGAAATACTGATACTGTTCCAGGGCTACTGGCTAGAACAGGACCCGAATTTCCAAGCTTGTGTAGCTCTCGCCGTTCAAGCTGTTCACACGCCTCATAGTTAGCCAAAGCCCAGGAATGCCATGCTCTGGGTTGCAGCGGTACGAGTTTTGTCACGCGTTGGAGCAACCTGATTACTATTGACAAACACTGATTGAAATATCTGCTCCTACGGGTGAATTTGGATGCCCGAATTAGAATCCCACACCATTCACTCCGAGTAAGGATGCTTGCTATCAATATTTCGTCGCCAGGCTTGTCTTTTAAATCCCAAGAGTTCTTCTGATGGCTGAAGATAAGAGACTCTGTGACTCTGGAAAGCACATCGTAAGCCAGTGCACGTCTCCCCAGTGCCCACAGCAAGTGGCAGGCTCGAAGAATCACATTTACGCTGGGAATTTGTGGTACAGAATCCAGGAAGGCAAGGACATTTCCACATCTTAGAAAATGCCCAGAACCATAGCACAAGTCTGCAAGTCTCATAAAAGCCTCAATGTCGTGGCCTGGATGCAACACGAGTTTGTGGACAATCAACACATTTGACCACACGCTAGCATCCAGTCCTCCCCACCAACGCACGCGTCGCTTCCATTTTGCAAGTAAGCTCAAGAGCACCTTTGTCGTGCCGACATATCTGCGGGACGATGGTAAATTCAGAAGGGTTTGCGACTCGAATGTCACAGCCTCCTCAAACTCAAATATCTGCTGTGCCGACATAACACAGTAATATGCATGATTATAGCTCTTATCGGTGCAGAGCTTTGTATCTTCAATCAATTGCACGCGGGCAGCCTGCACCAATGTTTTAGCCTGTGATAGAGCAGAGTAGACGTGGCGTATCTTTCTTCCTGCTGATTTCCATGCCAACACCGCCTGAAAAAGAAACAACTCGTGCGTTGAGGGTCTGAATGGCGAATTGAATACATGCAGATTTCGAGCGGTGTCTAGTTGTCTGACACGACAAGCACCCCAGTATGCTACATAAATTCCCAAGTCGTCCCAATTTTGCAGCATCCATGACGCTCGAGCGCCCAATGCAGATATTTCAATTAGCTGTTCCTGCCGTTCCTCTCTTACCCTGTGAGATGCAGCAACACAAACAATCCTCGAATTCTGCCGCCCATCCAATTTTCGCGCAAAATTGAGCGGGCCGGGGAACCTATTCAAGCTTGAAGTGAGCAAACTCCAGAGATAACGGGCGTGAATCATGACGGTTCGGTGATCAAAGAGGGCGCTGTGACACCTCAGCCGTCCGACCTCCATATCTAGCCATCGACTTCCAGCTTGCTGCGCCGGCTCACTTTGTCCTGCCGATTTCGAGCTGGGCACAGGAAACAATACGCTCGAGGGCAAACACCTCTCGTATATTGCCAGGGCCGCGTCCCAGCAGCCTAGCTGCTCCTGCAATTGGGGTTTTAGCCTTGAGCTCGGGCCTCTGACCAGTAGAATACCGGCAGCCGCCTCCTTCAAGCCGAGATTATTGTTGCTTGTAACAAGAGCCGCAATAACATCATCAGCACATGGGTCTATTTTGGAATTGAGGCGCCAATAATTTTCACGAGCAGCCAAGGCCCTGGCATGAGCATGTGCCTGACATGCACGTCGTGCCATCATAGGCAGCTCTATAGGAAGTGGAGCGCAGTACATGCGTGCAAAATCCACGAGGTCAAATAAGAGCCAAAGTGATTTTAGTGAAAGCGAACACGAGCACATTGCCACACCTAGAGACTTTACCAGTCTTCGAGCCACACCGGCCGGTCCACCAAAACAATTTGCTATGGCGAATCCACATCCAATCCACATTGCAAGAAAGCCGGGTTTAAAGAGGCGATACGCGGTAGTTTGACAAGCATCAGCGATGGCCGAGCATGGCCTAAGATAAGGCGATGGCGATTGTCGTAGTAGTTCTACTGAAATGCGATGCATCCATTCCGTCCAGTCACCTCTTGTCACCACCCCTGCACTATCCCATACCCGGTTCAAAGCAGCGAGATCAATTATGTGATCATCTCCTGCACGGGCGGAATAATTGTCTGGTCTGAGTGCTGGCAATGGTGGATCTTGGCTACATTGATTAAGCGGATAAACTTTTGCCTTAAAATACGGATACTTATCCCTCATCTGTCGGATGCGAAATGGGGTAGGGGAAAGCATATCGGCAAATAAATTGTCAAAATTTTCTCTCAAAATGACAGCGCAGCCTTGTGTTGGTGAAGGTGTTGGTTTACCACGAGAAATGGCTGACACAACTACATTATACCCGTCGTAAGCAGCCAAGGCTGCATGTGCCGCGAGCATCACGTAGTTAGGGCCACCAGAGTTCCCAAATATGGTTTCGACAGCCGGACTACTTAATTCCATCAGAAGATGCTCCATGTTGATGACCCAGTCCGACAGGGCAAATCGAGAGTGGCTCAGACGAGACAGTGCAGACCTACCAATCTGCCCTGATATGATGGTGAGACCATAAATGGCAAGTTCAGAAACCATAATTAGATAGTGGCTAGTTTTCAGCTTGGGAGTGCACGGTGCATCCCTGCAAAGCTGAACTTTGTTATCTGAATCAAGGCCTTTAGCCATCCCCAATTTGTGCATCGAATCGCATCGAATGGCAATACAGTCCAGCATTGACTTGATAAATTGGGGGGCAATCTCGGGCAAAACACTGGACCAGCCTACTCGGCTGATCAAGCGAATAACACTGACAAGAACAATGCAAATTTCTGATGCGGTGCGAGACTGCGTTTTGTGGTTTTGTTCTACAGAGCGCGTGGTGAATACGCGCGAGACAAAAGAATCATCATGCAGCAAGCGGAAGAGTCCCGCAAAAACGTTCAATATGGTAACGATGATCATCTTTGCATTCCCAGACATGATCAAAGAATCTGAAATTGAGTCAATAATGTGCAGGCATGGATACAGCGAACCGTGCGTAAGAGTACTTCTCAAGGGTGACAGCAACCACCGCATCTGTGATACGAAATTATGCAGTGAGAGGCGTGAATGCAAGCACCGCATGACATTGATGAGGCTCTCCCCCGTGACACAAGATGCACTGGTTGTGCATACTTGGTGTTTAGCACTGTGACCCGATTTGGGCCAGAGAATGGAGATCGCAGCCGCAAGTCGACCAGAGCAGCATTCAGCCATAATGATGGAAGGGTCTATCAGTTCAAGGATACGAATCAAGCTGCTTACAAGGATACGAACAAAATCTATGTCATAGGCACAGACGTTAACACTTCCGCTGTTTTGCATACAATGGGAACTCTGATTTATATTCTTCCGTACAAAAGAGCGTTCATCCAAGCACACCGGCCTCGCTGTTCTTTGGCCGTAGCGAGCCCCTCCCATTTTCCTTGAACCCGAAGACAGGATGCATAAATGGCGCCCCAATACTGCGCGTAAAGTGAGTGCATCGGGGGCAAGCCAGCTGCATACTTGGCTCAATACTTCGAAGGCCTCCTTGCGCACTTGTGGCATTAGTAAAACGGCATCTAGGAGAGCGATCATGGCAGAGGCTTGCAATAGCTCACCGGTGGGTAATCTACTCTCAAACTTCTCTCCTCGGACCGTTTTACACTCAGCCGATCCCAGTGTTTGTACAGCTTTGACCGTCTCCAGCTTAAAATAGTTTCGGAATTGATTTGATGAGTTAGACTGATCTGCAGCCGCTATAACTTCGGTTGTCCTGATGAACGAAAAGACATGCGGCCAAACCGGATGCTCCTTTTCTCTGAGTAATAGGAGGAAGGGAGGGTCCAAGGCCCCAAGCACACCTAAAGTACGGAATGCCTGGATATCTTGACCTGATCTTTGATCCTTGAGCATGTGCAGGAGTGTATCGACAAGTCTGGGAGCACTGAAGCAGTACGGTGTCAATATATCCCCGGTGCTGGAGACAAGATGCTCCAAAGCGCGAGCGGCAACATATCGTAGACGAGGGGCACGCACGGGCTGAGCACAGAGCACACACACAACTTTTGGGATAACTTTTCTGGCGATGGGCAAGACTCCGTCTCGGAAAATCAGGGTTATTTTTCCAGTGACACATGCAGCTATGGGAGCAATAGCATCATCCACCTTTGCCCGAGCTAGAAGATGTGCGACGATAGGTAAAATAGCGGGCACATATGGTGCTAGCATACGCTGCCCCCGATCAAGAGCGAGACTCACCAGCTGCAGAGCCCCAATTGCACCATCTGTAATTTCACAAAGAGGCAATGCGCTACGGTACGAGTCCTGATCGGGTGTGTTATAGCACTCCATCGGTTGCACAGCCAGTGAACCATTCCGCACACGGGATGAGATGAAGTTACAATGCTTTATCCTTTCCAGTTGCCGAGCTAGACACCGACCGATTCTGGGTAAAACAAATGAAGGCGCTTTGGTGACTAATCGTGACATCAGCTGCACCGCCGCCTTTCGCACTAGGAATTGATTGTCGACCGAAAAACTGAAGAGAACACGAAGAAGTCTTGGCAAAGCAAGAATGGTGTCAACACGAAGGGGGAAACGAGTTCAAGATGATACAGCGCAGCTCTGCTCTCTGTCCTAACGTCTCAAGCATGACGTACTCGACGACTGCGTGCAAGAATGCTAGTGGTGCGTCAGTGTAGAGGGCTGGATGAGAGATTTCTTCCAGATATGGCATTTTTGCCAGAAGCTTCCAGCTATAAATGGAAGCTTCTAGGCTAATCATTGGTGCTAAACTGACGACGCGAGCTGCAAGGACGGCGGCTACTTCCATGAGCAGAGCGGAAAACCCCTTTGTTTGTTGACATTCAAAAAAGTCAAACTTAAATAAGACGCCCATCGAGAATCGAATCTTTGAGAAAGAATAGATCGCTAGACAAGGCATGCTTTCGTTTACCGTGGTTCTAAATTCCACCTTTGCCGCCTCTCGTCTTAAGCAATAATGAGAAGAAAGGCAGCCATAGCTAGGAAATTTACTATAGCTCGCAACCATTGACTGCACTTCATGGCGTGGACCACGTCTTGACCTGACTTTACTACCAGCACCGCTCATCCCAACCGGGGTACACGCAGTTATTGTAGAAGCAACTTGATCTAAGACATAATGCTGAACCGACGAGCGCAGAGAGGGGAAATGCGCATGGATAGCTTTGATGAGGTGAAACATTGTCCGTGTGAGACATTGGGGTACAAGAAAACAAAATATTTTGCGGATTTGATCGTGCAACTCGCCGCAATTAGTAAAATGTGTCAAATGGTGACGATTATATTCACCAATCATGCGTATCAGGACAGTAAAGGACCGTACAATGGGTAGTGCTAAACTCGAATCCTGAGGGCCAGCCCTAGGCTTGCTACTCAAGGTTACCATGCGTTTAACAACTCCATACACTAATGATGCTTCCATATTTGTATCTAGAATTTCCGTGATAACAAAAGTACAGCGGCTGACGGCTGCAGAAATACTTAAGGCACGATTTGTTTTTATGGTCTTGAGTATTGACTGTATTACGCCATGTCGCACGGTCAGTACAGGTGTCATAAAGCATGCTAGCGATGGCAGAAGCGCGACTGACAAAACATGCAGTTGCGTGTCAGTGGCCTGTAGTCCCCTGACACCAAGTACTGCCTGGAACCAGGCCTCAAGTGTTCCACTGCCTAGCAATGGTTGACGCCAGTACTTCCCAGGCAAGACATCATCAAAATCGTCGATGATTAAACTTTTATCGCACGGATGCCGCTGAAGCACTGCGGCTAGAAGTAGCAAAGCACCATGAACCTGATCGTTTGATTCACAATTCGTGAGCAGACCTGTGGTTACGATTAAGGCCGCGTGCTGGAAATAGATAGACGCGTCCAATGAATCATCACGATGATAAAGAATGCTCAAAAATGACCTAGCAGCGCATGCAACAACCTCGCGGATCCGAGATGATGTGTCAGAAAGTGCGCCCCAAACTCGAGCGTGGATGGATCCACGAGCATCAAGTATGAGGGTCGGCACGTTGATTGTAAGCTCCGAGAGCACTAGAGCGGCTGCGTATCGACGCGCCTCGTACCGCATGTCTTGAATCCATTCCAATGAAGTTCTCAAGTAACGTTCTTCAAGTAGCTGAAGCTCAGCTTTTACCATTATCGTGCGAGAAAGACGCCCCAATGTCAACGTAACTACTTGCACGCACGATGGACTATAATGGGTGGAGCGGTCTACTTCTAACACATCACGAAGGAAATTCAGAACACCAATTCGCCTCTCGACTGATAGTTGATCAACAGCATGTGCCAAGCCCTCGAGTATACCAACACCGACACGGCGCGCGTAAGCGCCACCTTCTACAGCCCGAATACGTGCATAATCAAACAGGCGATTTAGATACGCGCTGAGTCCTGCTTGCGATAATTTTAGTGATGATCGTGAAAGGTGTGAATACAAAAGGTTGATGCCAGAATCCCTGAGATGCGAGGAAGACGACCCCAACAAGGCTTCGATGAATGCGAAACTCGCGCAAGACTCGATGCATGCGGAGCTGAACTCGCTAATTTCATAGCCCCCAGATTGGATCATGTCCTGACAATTTCATAGAGCTAGCCCCAGTTTAAATTGTAGAGCGATATTTATTGCTTGACGTTGTAGTGCACTCTATCCCGCTAGAGAGCTCAGGAGGAAGATTCTCCTGTATCTGCCCTACTGTCCTTATTTTCCCTTTTCTCCCTACCTTGCAGTCTCATATCCTCATGAGACTGAGTTCAGTCCCAAGGTCCCCACTTTAGTATGGGGGTCCTTCCTCCTTTTCCCGATTTCCTTCTCTTTCTCTCTTTCTATTCCACTTTAAGACAGTATAGAGTAACCCTCTCCTGTTGGGAATCAGGGCTGCTTAGCAGCCCCATCTCACTTTTCCATTTTCAGTCTAAGTCAGGAACTGTGGCGGGAGACTAGACTGAGGTATCTTGACTGACTTAGAATATAGACGGCCCGGGACCTTGCTGTCTCTCTCTCTCTCTCTCTCTCTCCCTCTCAATGACCATACTAGCTGCCATTAAGAAAGATAAACCAGAAGATGATGATTGCATTCGTGCGGAAGAAAATTTTGACGGGGTCTTCCCCCCCAGCTACTGACTATCTTTCATATCGAATGTAGTTAGCTGACGGGGTTGGTTTGAACTTCAAGTACCCATTTAGTTGAAGGTTGACCTAGCTAATTCCCTTTACAGAAGCGCCGTTTAGCATATCCCGCCGGCGGGATATGTTGCTGGGTCTTTGCTCAGGCACCGGGTCCCCGGGAGGGACCCAGACCAGTGCGCGTCGAATTTCCACGAGCGCTGAGGTCGCGCGCCTCATTTCGCCTCCGGGCGCGGTGGGGAGGGGGGGGGGTTCTTGCATTGTCCCCGCGGGAAGGGGACAGCGCACCGGCATTCATCTCAGCGCTGCCAAGACATTTGCGAAAATTTGGGGCTTTTGGGGACAGTGGTCATGCGTTTTCTTGTGGCTGCTGGCCTAGCCGAGCGTGCTTGGATGTGACTGGTCCTTCTAGCTTGAAAGAGCCTGGGATTATTGGAGCTTGCTAGAGAGGTGGTGCTGTGATCCTTGCGCTCATTTATTACCTGGCATCAGGCATATGTATTTACTAGTTTCTGTACTGTGTTTTTATCGAAGCGATACTCACACTAGTTTGTACTGATTTGCCTTCTTCGCTACTTGAAACCTGCCAAAAACTGAGTGGTGTAATGAGATTCTCAATCTTAGAACGCACCACATGGATGGGATGTGATAAGTCTTTATTTTCATGCATTGCTGACTTGAAAGATTTGGTGTGTTGGCTTGGCAGCGGTGGTGGTGATGATGACCTTGAAGGCTCCGGTCTAGGTTTCAATTGTCCCAAATCGGTGGATTTTGATTTAGTCCGTAATAATGCGTTATGATACAATACATTCTTATCAACAATGTTGGCTGACGTAGCCAGCTGCTGTGGTGTGTCTGAATTTCCTTCGTACTGTGAGCGTCGATTATGGCCTCCCCTGGTCTTCCCTGTATCTCGCCGTGATTGACCTGATGTCTTAGCGACGCCTCCGAGAGCACTCTCAACCTCGAAAGAATTGGTCCTCGTATTCCATCTCTTAGTCGAGGTGCTGAAAGCAGCAACTTCATGCGCAATCTCTTTTCGGAGCTCTGTCAATGAGAGGCTCTCTCTTTCAAAGGAAAAATCGCAAGGCGGTGCAAGTGGATCGGCAATTGGAATTTTGGCATAAGAAAGGTTCCTGAAATAGGAGTAGTCAAGAAGTCCTACTGCCGTGGCGCGTTTCGAGGCATTGAATAACAAAAGTCCTTCCAGCACGGTATTCGCAGGCAAGCCCGCTGAACCAAAAATGTTACCAAACGACACTTTCAGCTTCCCCTGAATGGAATCAAGAAACTTTCGCGCCTGTTTGTTTTTAACTCGTTCTATTTCCTCCGCCCGTGGCGATCCAATTACATCAAAAATGAGTTGAAGCTGGTGAACAAAATTCTTTCCTGGGAAGAGGGGGCTCCGTCCAAGCAGCTCTGCGAGGATGCACCCGACCGACCACATGTCAACCTACCAAGTGCGATGTTGGGACTATCGATGGCTGATGTGCAAGCGCTTGGGCTCACTGCATTTGTGTAGCGACCGTCGGGAGTCAGCATCAGCTCCGGTGGTCGGTACCTAGGTAATCTATGATTTTATCCGGATAATCGACTCAGTAGCCAAGACCATCGTGTGACAACATGTTGAGTCATGGGACAGATATCAAAGCTGTCGTCCTTGCCACCTTTGAGGGCTGCCGACTGTTGCCGTGCTAGCCCGAAGTCTGTGATTCGCAGCTCACAATTTCGTGTCACCAGGAGATTCCCGGGCTTCAGGTCACGGTGGATGATGCCCTGCGCGTGTATGTATATTACCCCGCGAACCAGCTGATACATAAAATAACGATTATGTGCGTCTGTTAAAGTCTGTGGAGACTGAATAATGCGATGGAGGTCAGAATCCATCAAATCCATCACAATGTATAATTCATCATGATGTACATCGCAAAATAAGTCGTGTATACTCACTATATTTGTGTGAGCACCCAGCAACCTCATACATCGAATTTCGCGGAGGACATGTTTCGAGTCAATACAATGTGCTGACATTGGTTTGATCCGTTTGATTGCGAGGCGCTTGGAAGATGTTGCATCCGTGCACGAGGCAACTACTCCGTAACTACCCCGACCTATTACCTTCAAGCCCTTGTATTGCGATTTCACTGCAAAAACTGAGCCCCCTACATTAAGGCCTATAAGACCCATGGTGAGTCGTCGAATGAAATTTAAGTTTCCGTCCACTTGGCCTTCGTATCTCCTACTAAGGCCTCCACTAGCCTGAAGCTAAAGGACGCAAGGTAAACTCCTCCCTCGAAGGGAGGCTGGGCTCAATTCAACTTAAGGTGCCAGAATGAACGCCGACGGACCGCGCTTGGATGGCGCAGCCACCTCAGCAGGGACGGAGGAGGGCCCGGGTAGGGCAGGGCAGGTGCTTCATTTGCGCCGAAGGAGGGTGGTGGGCGGGCTCAAAAAATAAGCCGCGCCACCCCGGGCCCCGGGGAAGCGGCGAGCTGGGAGAGGACCACCACAGCCAGCTATTACATTTAGCTGGATGATGATAGGTGGTCTAAACTCACTAACTCGCTATGGGGCACTGGCAGCCGATATGACCTGCAGTCGTCTGGATAACAGGATGAAAACTGTAAACCTAGCTAGGTAAAATTCCTGGATAACATCCAGGACATCAAGGGGTTGTCGAGCGAAGATGAAATTTTTCTTACTATCCCTATCAACAATATCTGAATGACTTACTCCCCGGTGCATGCACGGATACAGGTGAGCGTTGCGACTCTTCGATCTACGATGGAGTCTGCAGCTCCGGCAGTTTCGATCGGCAACTACAAGGGGGTGATGCTGTGTAATAGACCTTTTGTGGGCATGGTCGGCACGTCGAAGGGCTTAACAGCCTCGGCTAAACACGCATTTGTTTGCGGGAATGTTGGAGATAAGCTTGGAACTAATGTGCCTATTTCGTCCAAGGAAAAGCTAATCACAGCTGATCAGCGCCCAAAGAAAGAGACAGCGCTTCAACGACATCGAAAGTCAACAGCAGTGTTACAAACGCTAGTCGTAGATCGAAACTCGTATCCACACATAGGTGGCTTGCGGAACTCCAGGCGACTAAAGAACAACTAGAAAAACAGTATCTTGAGGTCTTAAGACAACCCCTATCATCGGGGTCGAACAGCGTCCCATCCCCACTGCCTCGCAAATATTCAAGTCATTCTCGAACATACAGGATGTTCAAATGAAAGAAGTTCGCCACCAGCGATTCATGCAGCGCGAAGCGAAGATGCGCGCCATTGTTCGTAAAGCGAAGCAGGACGAAGGCGTTGATATCAACTCTCAGGGTAAATTCGACGCGCCTTGCATCTCCATGGAGGCCTCGGCCGCTCCCGACGCCAAGGGCGACGGAGGATCATCGACTATGGACATGTCTGATAGGAAAACTCCAATTGTGCCTCGGCCTATGTGGGCACTGACCGAGGAACAAGCAGGCAAGGTAGTAGACTGCGCAGAGTTCACCGAAGCAGATAATCTCCTGGACTTTGCCAGCAATTTGGATTTTGACAAGTACATCAATGATTCTGAAGTCTCGGCATTGATTGAAAATGTGCGTGCTCGCATCACAGAGCTCGAAGCAACCCAGACAACCGAAGCAAAGCTTGAGCTGGAATCTTTGGACCACATAGTCGATAAATCCAAACTAAGGTTGACAGCCGAGAGCCTTGATGCAATTTCTGACCGACCCGAGGCGAATGGATCTAATCAAGAAGACGACTGTGTATCTGTGGCACGGACTGTCTTAGACTCGGATGCCGGCAAAAAAGTAGGCGCAATCCACTCACATAAGTCGCTCACTGCTCTTGCCCAGCGCTCGAAAAATGCTGCCAAGGAGAGCGAGGTGGACGCTACTATCGACGAAGACGTCGTACCACAGCCGATTGTGGTCAAGCACACTGAAGACGCAGGAGCCCGATTAGAAGGCAAAAACTGTGTTTCCAATCTCCCGTATATGCACCGAAATCCTGCCGTGTGAACTGATGTATATCTTAACAAAAGTGCTGATGCTCCAGTGATTGCATGAGGCCGGTCGGTTGATAACGCCCAGCGGTCACGTGGATTTTATTGATTTGGCCGAGGCGAAATGTATCCTGTAATATTTAGAGAGCGGGATCACAGGCGGAAGTGGCTCTTGGTGGCTTTAAGGAGATGTTTCAACAACAGCGCGGCTAGAAATGCCTGGGGGCTATCCCTGGAACCGTGGTTGTAGCGAGCTCCAAATAGCCCCCTCCCCCACCCACCCCGCGCCCCCCCCCACTCACACCACAGCAAAGGGTTTCTGAAGCCCGCCACGTAATCGACTTTGCAGAGCATATTCACCTAGCTGGGTCGCTACTATGGCAAGAGCCTTTATCCCGTATATCCCACCGGCTTCTTCCTCTACCCAGCTACCTCCCATCTAGCCTCCATTCTCTTCCCGTATCATCCTGATGCTCCTGTATTCTACATGCTACTCTACTTACCCAGACTTTTACCCAGGTACTGTAGTCCCTTGCATGTGGGAGATACAAATCTCTTCTTCTATTGTATTACACGCTACTAACGCGTCGATGGGTGGCGGTGGCTCCAAAAATAATGACAATGACAAATCGACAGAGTCCATGGCAATCCAATCCACGGAGAAGCAACCCGCCGAAGTCGATCCTGTTTACGAGGGACCGAAAATCACAGCCACGTCGACGCAAGACTTCATTGTCACAACAACTCTTGGCAAGGGCTCATTTGGGCGTGTGAGACTAGCACGACACAAAGAGTCAAATACTCTCTGGGCGTTGAAGATCTTAAAAAAAAAAGAGGTTATAAGCCATAATGCAATCGAGCACGTTTTCCGGGAGAAGAAAATTCTTCATGCGCTCTCGCATCCCTTTATTGTTAATATGGCACTTGCGTTCCACGACACGTGCCCAACCCCGCGTCACTTGGGTTAAGCCAAGACTCGGACCGTGCCGCTCCTCGCAGGTGTTTTGTGTACATAGTGTTAGAGTTCGTGCAAGGGGGTCCTTTCGACACGAGATTGCGGGGTGAAGGACAACTAAAGGACAACGAATCAGCATTCTACACTGCTCAAATTGTCCTGATATTCGAATACATGCATGCGAAGTACTACCTGTACCGTGATCTCAAGCCAGATAATCTTATCCTTGATATGGCAGGTTATGTGAAGCTTGCTGACTTTGGGTTTGCAGTCTACTGTGAGACACAGACCAAGACACTTTGCGGGACACCAGACTACATGGCGCCTGAAATTATCGAGAAAGGTGGCTACGGGAAGGGAGTGGATTGGTGGGCTCTTGGCATTGTCTTGTGTGAAATGCTGACAGGGAAAACGCCTTTTGTCGCCGATGATCCCATAGACACGTACAAGCTAATTCTAAAAAATGCGCCAAAATGGCCTTCAGAACTCGAGGGCGTTGGGAAAGCTGCAGTGAAGAAGTTTTTGACAAAAAGTCCTCTTGAGCGCATGGGAAACACCAAACTGGGAGAAGACGAGTGTAAAAAACACAAATTCTATAAGTCCATCGAATGGGGCAGATTGCTATCACGGGACCTTCAGGCTCCATACGATCCTTTTGTTAATTTTGAGGATGATACGTCAAATTTTGATGAATATCCAGAATCCAAGGGCGACCCTGAACTTCCCGAGTACTCAAATGAGCACCCCGACCCCTTTGTTGATTTTGATGAATCTTAGCACACCAGCAAGACAGAAAATCATGGGAGTTTATATAATTTTCGATAGTAGCAGCGATATTGCGGATGTTGTGCCGGCGGAATTTTGTCACATCTGGTAAAAACGGAGGCGCCTGGCGGCGACTCGCAGCTCCGGCTGAAGTGGCATTGTAGCCAGGGCTGCTGATTGTCAATTGTGGGGGTCCTAGTTCGCTCATAGGGAGCTCGGGGTACTAAGCTAGCCCTACTGCGCCCGGCCATTGGCGCGTGGTTGTAGCAAGGGCCCCCCAAACAACGCCTTCTAGTTTTGGGCCTGCCCAGGGCCCCGGCGCCCGAGTAAAGCCCCCATAGAGAGAAATACCCCAAACTAGGGTAATAAGGAACGCTGATGTCAACGTTACAGGGGAGTGCAGTCTCATCTCCATAGTGTGACGTCGCGATAGTGAGGAAGCAGGGTAATGTAAATTATGGGGATGATGGTGGATCAAGCTAGTACTATATTCAGATAGACCCCTTTTTCAAGTTCACTATACTGAAAATGAGGAATTCCCTTCTCAGGTGCAGCCCCAGAATTCCCCTTAGCATAAGCCGTGGAGAAATAAAGTACGAGGGGAGAAAGGAGGGGCCTAACTAGAGATACTCTCATATTCCTTCAACTAGAGAAAACTCATGTCGATCCTAACTATTCGATTTATTCCTGTTTGGCACCTGCCGTTGCAGCTGTGCGTTGCACGTGCGGGCTGTTGCGGGCACGCCCCGGTCCGTGGTGCTTGTGCGATACTTTCTGCTGCATTTCGTGTTGATTGGTGGTAATTTCACGCGGTAGTGCTGCCCGCAGACGGTGCTGAGCGGCGCGGCTATTCAAACTTGGCCTGCGGGTGGCGGTTGCAACATGGCACGATTGTTGCGAGACTCCACGAATGATCAGAGGTGTGCTCCTATGTCTAGTGGGCCTGCTGCCAGCGATTCGCCACGCATATATCATATACGATGCGAGCCATTCGTTTTAAAGTTTGCATCTTCTTCAATATTGGCTTTGCGCTCAGAGCCATCAATATCCCAAAGTTCATCGAGCTCAGTGAAGTTTATTCCGCCAAGGGCTAGTTTTGCTTATGGTGAGTGTCGCCCGCGTGTATCCTGGGTTTGATTGCGATTAACATGCGCCTGCTGCCACTAAGAACGGCGGCTATCGCCCTCAGGACGCGAGTGTGGTTTTTAGTGCGCTTGGCGATAAGCCAGCTACCTAAGGGGCCTGCATTGCGCTCCTTGGGCTCCCCAGAGATTACCTGCGGCGATCAACTTGCAAGGTGCGCCGCAGTGATTCTAGTGTGGAGCAGTGCTGTCTAGCGTGGTGATAAGCAACAAGAACAACTAGATCGGAAGCATTTTTTCCAGGGTCAACAGCAATGCAAAAGGGCCCACGGAAAGGAGAATAGCCAACCAACAGGGTCATGACACGGCTCGCATGGCAGAGCCCTGACGGAAATGAGCACTCTCCTGAAGGAACGCGGTAAGACAGCCCTTTGAGAACACGCAAAAGCGATCTAGATGCAGCAAGTCTTGTAGCACGATTGATCATTTCGAGCGGTGTAACGAGACCAGCACAACAACCAGGCAAGCATTGCCAATCTATCATGGCTTTGATCTGACCAGGCGCTGATATGTTTGCGCTTGTAATTATGATGGCATTTACAGCTGCGCCACAGAAAAAGTTTACGTTGACGGCTATGTCAACACGGTTAGTTAGCTCTGCATTGTTGGGCCAGACTCGGAGGAACACAAAATTGTCGAAGCATTGGGTACCAATTTCACCATTACTCATACACATGCACGTTTGTGCAGCGACGTAGAACGACCTTAGCCCATACAATCGCGCTGCCTGGACAACAACATCCCGTAATCCACACAGAGGAGTTCCATTACAAAGGAAACAAGCACGTGCCCTGCTCAAGGTATTCGAATCTTGGTTGTCGTGATGATGTGCGGTGTTTACCATCCATCGCAATTGAGCTGGAACTCGAACATCTTTCGTAAGTGTCGCGCTGAATCCGAACTCACTCAGGGAAATCACTGAGACTGTCGCATCCTGTTGTGATGCTATGGATTCTGCAGGAATTGTAGGTACTACTGTGAAAAGGGCAGCCCTCGCGAAGCGGCGCCTATTCTCTTCACTCATTCGGAGTTTCGCCACACCAAATGCATATTCAATTTTACTGGGCGATTCGACAGCCCTGAATTCAAGAAGTGGGTATGAATTTACGAGATTTAAAGCATGTGTACGGAAAGAGTACTGTCTGGAGTGGAGCACAAAGCTAGCGTCTTGAAGCAGTTGAATCCTTGCGTTGCCAGCCCACTGTAGGCGCGTAAACCTCACTGCTGTCTCTAAGACAGATTGATCCGATATCTCCAAGAGCCAGCGAGTCAGGGCGAGAGCGTACGACAACGCCGCGCGTGATACCTTTGCCCAGCTGTGTAGAGTGCGGTGCGAGTCCCAATCTGAACATTCGAAACGAGTCGATGATAACGCATAAAGAATCAAAGAACGAAAGTCGACCATGCTATGCGATTAGCAACCCCATTCTAACAGATCACGCCACGAGAGTAAAGTTATGCAGGAGGGCGAAATGAACCACCCTTCGACAGCTGTGATGAGCGCAACCGCTCCGGTACCGAGAAGCAACAGTAGTTCGCGAGCTTCCAAGTTGATCCGCAAAGGGACAACTTCATCAGGCTCTTGCTTTACATGTACTACTTAATCACTAGTAACAATATGTAGTGTAGGAAGGGCCGTCCCACGGGAATGCTGACGTCCGTTGATGACGATCATGATAAACCGGCGAATATCGCCCTTAGAACGCGAGTGTGATTAAGCACAATCAAAGTGCGCTTGGCGATAAGCCAGCTATCTAAGGAGCCTACATTCCGCTCAGGAGTCCTTGGGCTATGCTATCCTAACTCGGGACTATGCTATCCTCCCTATGCTGGGACGCTCATACTGGCCTATGCTGGCTATGCTAAGTCTGCCTTATACTGGCTATGCTCATGCTATACTATGCTGGTGCTTCATACTAGCATACTCGGATTCTAACACGGTATATATACTTTTTCTTTTCAGTATCCTTTGGTAAAGTTTGTGTGCTATACTATGCTGGTGCTTCATACTAGCATACTCGGATTCTAACAGATCAAGCTGCCCGGGCCATGGCGCAAGTCACTAAAATCGAACATAAATTCGCAAAACTAGAGTGGTTACCACTCACTTATATCACACAGGCCTAATCTAGAGCGCATTAGAAGCAGCCCAAGAGCCAGCCCGTGCCGCAGCTCGCGCCGTCGTCGCTGCCCCCCGGGCGGCCCGACCATGGCGGGCCCGCTGCTCGTCTGGGAGTCCGGCGCGACGTTGTCCGTGCACGGCTTAACGGTGGCGCATTCCGGCTCCCGTCCCATCCAGTGTCGGTTGGCGGCGGCGACTTCAGGTCGTGCGCGAGCACGCTGGTTCGGCGCCCCCGGGCATCTCTGGGTTCGGACCCTCGAGGCCGCCGACTTCCGCGTTCGAGGGGGGCGCACGACCGTGCCGCGCTCCATGGAGGCGCGCTGGCTCGAGACTCTCCGCGGCGCCCGAATTGCTCGCCGCCGCGCGGCGGGCTTTCAGGGCAACCGCGTGCACGTCCGAGACCCACGGCGCCAGCCTCTGCGGCGTGGGCTACGCCGAGCCCAAGCAGACCTTCCCCGGCGACATCATCTGCCGTACCTACGCCTTCGCCGAAGAGCTGGCGCGCGCTGTCCAGTCCCGCGCGCCTCGCGCGGGCCTCGACTTAAAACACCGACGCATGTCCATCTACGGACGCACTCGTCAGACGCCGCCCCCCCGGGCCGACGGCAGGCCTTTTAGACAACGCCCTGGCCCCGCTTGACCTCCCCCTCCGCTCAGTCGAATCAACTGTGCTTAAACAGTTCATGAGTCAACTTATAGACCATTGATCGATTGGACTCTCTGAGTAGTCATGAACAGTGATTATGGTGGGCGCCAAAACACCCCCTGGCGACCCTCCCGCTGGACCCCAGCGCATCAGGGGTCCGTCCAACATGTCCTCTGGAGGACCAAAGCTGAAAAGCAGCCATCCATGCCGAAACTCGGCTGTGGACGGGCTGCCAAGCACGACGCGCGCCGCGGCTCAAACCTGGTCAACGACCCGAGAAACGCGCATTGGGGACACCCGCGACCGCTTCGAGACCCTCGCAGACACCCCTCGAGTGCCTCAGCCGCGTAGATCGTCCTCTGGGCCCGGCGCTGACCGCCACGACCACTCGGAGCGCTCGACGCGCACCGCCGGGGCTGCCACGCGCGCGCGCGTGATGATGGAGATAAAAACACGGCCGCGCGCGGGGAATCCCATCGCGACACTATACCTTCGCGATTCCCCGCGCGCGGCCGAGTTTTTTTGGCACCAGGACCGACATATCGCCCCTCGACGCGTCGAAATGGCCCGGATCCAGAGGCCCCGTTCGCCCCGAAATCGTGCTCGTCTCTCGAGATCGAGAGCGGCGCGTCGAAGATCGCCCGCCGGCGCGGCGCGGGCTCGAAGGCTGCCGGGGCGCCCGGCGGACCGAGCCGCCGAACGCGGCCGTCAAAGTCGGGCGCTGCCCATCGGATCGGCTTCCCAGTGCACTGGAGCCCCTAGAGAACTTTAGGCCTGTGTCAGCACCGCAATTTTCTATAGCGGCACTAGTGGGTTGACAACACAAATTTTACCACAGGATACTGAAAAGAAAAAGTATATACCGTGTTAGAATCCGAGTATGCTAGTATGAAGCACCAGCATAGTATAGCATGAGCATAGCCGAGCATAGCCAGCATAGGCCAGTATGAGCGTCCCAGCATAGGGAGGATAGCATAGTCCCGAGTTAGGGTAGCATAGCCCAAGGAGCGGAATGTAGGCTCCCTAGGTAGCTGGCTTATCGCCAAGCGCACTTTGATTGTGCTTAATCACACTCGCGTTCTAAGGGCGATATTCGCCGCTTTATCAGCCACGAGTGCTTCTCAAGGTCACTCTTTGCTATGATGTCGTAATCTAGGTTTGGCACTATGTGTGCACTGCCACTGACCATGGCTCGCTTACAATTTTGGGTATCTACATCAGCTTTGTAGTTGCCTTGCGCGCATGCGGGCCGGGGGCTACTAACTAGGAATTCCTACTAGAGTGAGTGGAGATACATCATCGCCGCAGAATCGCCAGTCGTATCACAACATGTCGGCGCCTGTGACGATCCGCACGCGGAAATTTGTCCGGAATCCCTTATTGCAGCGCAAACAGTTTGTCGAACGCCGTGTATATTTACAATGCCATAATCCTCACCCGCCAAAACGCCGCAGGTTCTTGATGTAATTCACCCTGACCGGGCGAACGTCCCGAAGTCTGAGTTGCAAGACATGATCGCTAAGGTGACTCCCAAAGAATCTTTTCGCGAGTATCATCCCGGCGCTACCCCTCGCAGAGTCACAAGGTGGCTGACACGCAGTTGATATCACTGTTTGGTTTCCGCAACAAGTTTGGCGGTGGTAAGTCCACTGGGTTCTGCTTGATCTACGACTCAGCGGAAGCTGCCAAGAAGTATGAGCCCAAGTATCGGCTGATTCGTAACGGAATCGTCGAGAAGAAGGAGACTAGCCGTAAACAGATCAAGGAGGCGAAAAACCGTAAGAAAAAGGTTCGCGGTACTGGCCGCCGCATTGCCAATCACAAGGCTAAGAAGGCCGCCAAGGAAGGCTAAGGTTCATCTCTTCCAGAGACCTCGCGATGCCGGGTTTTACGCAGTTCGCAGCCGTCTTCCTCGGTCAGGGACGAGGAAAATATTGAGGCAAATAACTAGCTTTTCCGCTGGTTGGGTTGGTGACTCCGGTGACCCCTAGAGACCCCTGCTGGAATAGCTGCTGTAATGGGCGGTGTAGGTGTGCTAACTGGCGCAGCACCGGGTAAGTCTGCCAGTATAGTTCTTGGTCACACACCACGCGTAGACACTCAGGCTAAATCTAGGTTCTGATACTTCCTCCTGACTAGCCTAATTGTCGTTTCGTGGGACGGATCAGCCAAATTCGATTAGTCGATCATAAAACAGAGAGGTTCCCCCAACGTTCCCCCAGCCGGGACGTTTCACCTGACTTGCAGTATGGAGGAGGCCGACGCGCAGACCGCCGTCGGCGACGCCATCGAGGCGGCAACGGCAAACGCTATCGCAGCACGGAACCACGCGTACGTGGAGAAGCTCGCGGCCGGGTCCGGCGCGCGGGGCACGCTCTACACGGCGGCGCCCGGCCGGCCGTCGCCAGCCACATCCTGCCGCCACCGCGGGCGCGGCCCAGCGACAGCACGCCGGCGCGACTCATGCGAGGGCAACCGATGAGCGCAACGGAGCGCCATGGGGTGTTCCAACATGGGCCGCGCGCGGACGACGACGCGTCCGCGGCGCACTACAACCTCCGCCGCGGCGACACGACGGAGGGGCGACGGCGAAGCGATCAACGTACATATAGGCCGGCCCACAAGGGGAGACGGGAGGGACCTAACTAGGATACTCTCAGATTCCCCTGACTAGAGAAAATTTTCTGGCTATGCTGAGTTGGATACTAGCATACTGTCCTAGACTTACTGCATGTACTAGTTAGCATACGGGCCATAGACTTACGTCGATTTTTACAAATCCAGGCTCTTTAGTTACCGGCCCGGCCGGGCGCCGGCTATCGAACGCGCGAGACCGCGCAGCTGGGCGTGACATTACACCCTGAGGCGCTCGGGGCTGATGATGCGAAGGCCAAGTTTGATCTGCCCAGTGAGCACGTTCACCTGCCTGCAGTGCGGTGCAAAGTGAATTGCTTGACTGGAATGAGAGTAAGAATTCTCGACGCA